CATAAATGAGTACACTCCTTTTGAAAAGTAAGATTTTAATCAATATCTCAATGAACACAAGAACAATTTCTGACTTTTTTAGAACATTTGTTTAGCTCATTACTTAAAAGTAAGATTAAATAATGTAACTTAGATTACAAAATCTTCAGTCTTACTCAAATTAGTTGATGCAAAATTGAATACACCCCCCCAAAAAACTACTACTTCTAGTATTTTGTATGACCCCCATGATTTGTAAGGACAGCACAAAGTCTTCTAGACATAGAATGAACAAGTTGGCAACATATTACATGTATCTTTTTCCATCCTTCAAGAACGACCTCTTGTGAGCCTGGATGGAGAGTGATGCTCAACTTGTCTCTTCAGAATTCCCAATAGGTGTTCAATTGGGTTCAGATCAGGAGACATACTAGGCCAGTGAATCACTTTCACCCTGTTCTTATTCAGAAATGCAACAGTGGCCTTAGATGTGTGTTTTGGATCATTATCATGTTGGAAAAGTTCAAGACGACCAAGGGCATGGAATGATGGTAGCATCTTCTCTAGAGCAGTATATCTGTGAATTCATTATACCATCAATGAAATGCAGCTCCCTGACACCAACAGCACTCATGCAGCCCACAGAGAGACACTGCCACCACCATGTTTCACTGTAGGCACCATGCATTTTTCTTTGTACTCCTTACCTTTGTGACGCCATACAGTTTTGAAGTCATCCGTTCCAAAAACATTTATCTTGGTCTCATCATTCCAGAGTACAGAGTCCCAGTAGTCTTCTTTTTCAGCATGGGCCCTGGCAAATTCTAGGCAGGCTTTTTTGTGCAAGGGCTTTAGAAGAGGCCTCTTTCGTGGGCGACACCCATGCATGCCATTTCCCTGCAGTGTATGTCCTATTGTGTCAAGGAAACAATCACCCTAGTTTGGCTTTGTACTTCTTTTCGCTAACTGTAGTGAACTTGCATGGCAATTTTCTTCAACCCGTCTCATCAGAAGATGCTCCTGTCAAGGTGTTAATTTCCGTGGACAGCCTGGATGTCTCTTTGAGATGGGTATAGTTCCATCTTTGTTAAATTTTTGTATCACTTTTGCTACAGTATTCTGACTGATAAGTACAGTTTTGCTGATCTTCTTGTAGTCTTCACCTTTATTGTGTAAAGAAATTATTTTCTTTCCCAGGCCTTGCGACATTTCTCTTCCATTTAGTGCCATTGCTGACAGCATGAAATGGGAAGGGGTTTTCTTTGTTAAGTAATGCCCTTTTATATTCAACTGTCTGCTGGACACCTGTTTAATGAATAATTAAACATAATTAATAATAATTAAACTAACCTGTAATTGAATTCTTGTTAAATAGGATTTTGTTGTATAAAATTTAGCTTTGCTCCTAAGGCTTTCATTGGGGTGTATATATTTTTGCAACATGATCTTGAATGAATGTTAGGAAAAATACCACCGGACATCACAAAGGCAAATTTTAAACTCATTCTTCAAGTCACCACTGCGGCCAAGCAGGTTATCGCGAAGTCATGGAAATCTCCCTCACTGAGTATGACTGCAGTTATGATTAGGGTCACTCAGGCGATGATCCACGCAAAAATAAAAGCCACTATCTTAGATTCCATCCCCAAGTTTAAAAAGATTTGGAATCCCTGGGTAGAGCATTTCCTCCCATCCAATTTTGACGACTCCCTTCTCAACCCGTAATTTATTCCTTTCCTCTTTACTGGAACCATCCCTTGCTGATATTGCGGTTATCTGGCTATTTTCCTTCTCCCCTTTCCTTGGAGCTGTACGCCCTACTCCATCCTTCCTCCCCCCCCCCCCCTTCTTGTTAGGCCTTAATCGATAGTTGATGTTCACTCATGTTAGTGCTGCCTGACCCTGTATTAATGGGAACTCTTATCGTTCATCTACTGCACACCTCCAATATCCCATATGGTTACTTATAACTTGTCTTGTTTTACATTAAAGCAATAAAATATTTGAACAAGATTGTTAGGAAAAAAATTTTTTTGTGTGCAAATTAACAAATCTTGTTTGCAATGAATGGCCTGCATTTGTGGGAGTAGTCTGTAGTATAGCCCATTGCCGCCCGGCCAATAGCCAGATGGCGGCCGGGCGAACAGCTCGTCCCTCCGGGTGGACGCCATATGGCGTCCTTTCCGGAGTGCGCATTGTGCATGCCCGCAGGGCCGCGCTGCGATCTGTCACTGGCCGTATACCTTGGACATGGTTGATGACAGATCTGTGTACCGGCCCTGTTGCCAGTACCATGTGTCACATGACAGCTGTATACAATGGATGGCTTCCTTTCATGCCATCCATTGTATACAAGTGTGTCTAGCTGTGAATGGTCACAGCGATCACATGCACAAGCTGGGCCAATCACAGCCCAGCTGTGTCATGTGATTAGCCTTGGCCAAATCACAACCAATCACAAAAAAATAAACCCTGAATGAATTGATTTAATTCAGGTAAATGCTTGCTTATAGCTAAGTAATTCATTGCTATAAGCAAATTGTGCAAAAAAAAAAAAATACTGATCACTTCCCCAAAGTAGTACAATGTTACTATGGTAATAAAAAAATGTAAAAAAAAAAAAAAATATCAATTTTTTTTTTTTTACTGTCACCAGTCAGTGTCCCTGATCACCGCCATGCCAGTTATATGATGATGCTCTACTGCACTGGTGACAGTATATAAATTTTTTTTAAATTTCTTAATTTTCTGAAAAATTATGACAAAAAAATGACAACTTCAAAAAACTCGCCACTACACTGCATCTGCAGCATTTATTCCTGTCAATGTATTGGATGAATCTACATTTCAACAAGAACATCAGCCTATGTTTCCCTTTTGCTTCATTTCTTATGAAATAGCGTCAACAGGTTGGGCAAAAAAAAAACCAGTGCAAACTGCAATCTTTGTCTGCATCACTTTTATAATGTTTCAGAATATTTTGCCATTGTAATTTCAATGCAGAAACATCAAAATACCTGTAATTTTATGTTGTTGCAGGCCTGTTTAAATGTATGAAAATTATCATTTTGTATTCACACATCAATACAAGTTAAAAAAAGAAACACAGTGTCCCAGTTTTCTCAAATAATAAAACACCAAAATCCACAACTAGAGAGGTAGATACAGTAATCCTTGAAAAAGTTTTATACATGGCAAACTATATTAGCATTGACTTTGATATAAGTATCTTAGTTTCTCATACTAAAGAAAAGAGAACTATGCAGGCTTTGTTTTGCTGTGTATTAGATCTCATGATTGATAGATCATCTTGTTCTCTTGCTAATGCTAGGCAGATGTTTATTAACTATTTTTTGCAAATTCAAATTTTAACTTGATCAAAATAGACTTGTGTAGTCACTGTCTGAACAGTTAAATCATAAAATTCATTAAATATGCAAACAAAAAAAAAGAGACTGCACAACCAACATCCTTTTGAGTGTATAGCAACTAATAAATCATCAGCAGAAACATATCATCATAACATACCTCACCATATCAATGTATGTACATATGAATGTAAATCAACAAAACCTCCATGAATCAGGTTAATTAAAATGTAACCAATACACACCCGGCCAATAGCCAAAAGGCAGCCGGAAAAATGTATTGGATTGCCAAATGGCGTACACCCACACATGCGCACTTTTCGCGCTTGCAGAGCCGCGGCCGATGACAGATCTGAGTATCGGCCCCGTTGCCTGTACCATGTGACTTGCTGTGACCAATCACAGCAGGTCACATGACAGTTGTATACAATGGATGGCTTCATTCATGCCATCCATTATATACTACTGCCTAGCTGTGAATGGTCACAGCTAATCACATGCAAATGTCATGTGATTAGCTGTGGCCAAATCACAGCGAAGCACAAAAAAAAACCAAAAAAAAAAAACCCCCTGAATGAATCGATGTCATTCAGGTAAATGCTTGCTTATAGCAAAGTAATTCTTTGCTATAAGCAAATTGTGTAAAAAAAAAAAAAAATACCGATCACTTCCCCAAAGTAGTACAATGTTACTATGCCCAAAATATACTGACCATGACCTTTGACCCTAACCTTGAACCAAACACTAACCCTGGCACTGACCTAGATCAAACTTTGATCTACTTATTTTTTGTTTATTTTTTATTGTATTTATTATTATTATTTTACACAGTGTTGTTTATTTTTCTCTCTGCAAGCAGAGAGAGAGAGATACAATGATTTTTTCCTCTCCATTTACAGAGAAACACAGGGGCGAACTTCACAGTGACTGATCATTGCGATAGCCAATCAGAGGCCATCACAGCAATCAGGTTCTGGGTCCTGATCATTAGCATGGGACCCGGGGCTCCCGGTGAGACCCCAGTCTCTGTGCTGGTTGCGCACTATGTGGTGTGCTCCTAGCACAAAGACACATACGCATGATTGCTCATGATTTATTAGTTGGTATTCACTCAAAAGGATTGTGGCTACACTTCACTGTAATTCTTTTGCATATTTATTTTGATGCATGTGGGAACACATATTAGTGCTCGCATCAAGTAGGGGATATATATATATATATATATATATATATATATATATATAGTTTTGTTGTGGTTTAAATATATTGGTTGTACAAAGAATCATTCAGATAACATCATAAAATGCATTAATAACTATTTTAATGAATTGGTAAAGAATTGGTGTCTTTTCTCTTACCTGCCTTAAACTTGTATTTAGTAATATTTAAAAAAAAATATTTCCAGATTTTGGTAAACCATTTTTATTATGCTATTTTGTTTATTTTTAGTTTGGACAAATGGGTCTGCCCCACCAACACAGGTCAAGTGGCAGTAGGCTAATACCTATAACAGTGGTTTATGCTGGAAGGAAGATTGCTTGTCGCTATTCTGTGAATGAATGTTCATAGGTTTATCATCATGTAGACTATAAATGCCACAAGTTCATTATATGGATGTCCTAAATATAAAACCTGTTTTATCTGTTTGAACAGAGTATAATTCACTTGCTTCAAGAAAAGTGGTTCATTTCTCCCATGGCACAGATAACCCTTGCTCAGAGTTTGATTCTTTCAGCTGACTTAATGGAAAATAATGAGGATCAGCAATTGGTTTGGTCAAAGCAGTTAAACATTTTCACTTCAGTTCACAAACTTATCAACAAACAAGTAAGTGTATTAGTGTGATGCTCCTTGTATTACAAATGTTCAACAGGCTCTCTTACAAAAAGCTAGTTTCTGAATGTACTTTATTACATTACCAAATGAAAATTTAGAAGGAAGACACAAATGAATAACAATTCACATCAATCTATATAGAAATTAATGCAACAGTCAAACAACCACCAAACAACTACTAAAGTTTGGTAGGTTTTTATAGGGCTTGATAACTTCTGTTTACTTAAAATAAAGAATCCAGAAATAATCTTTTTTTCCCATTTACTTTAATAGGCTAAATCATCAGTTTACTCTCCACTTACAATGAATGCAATGTAAACATGTAAGCTTGTTTTTCAAAAAACATGCTTTGGTGTGCAAAATGTTCTCCAATAAAAGTGTCTGGGTACATTACCCATAATAAATTGGAAAGATGTACATGGTTGTATATATCATGATAATGTGCAGTAGTCTGGCCATGTATGGAAAGAACACAATTGCAACAGATAAGCTCCAATGCTAAGGCATCAGTCTAATGGTTTGAAACATTTCCTGGAAGGTCTCATTGTTCTATACTTATTAGACAGAAATAAGTGGATTGTATATTTACTACCTTATGGGGAGCTCCTCCAACATTTATTAGAAACAATTTCTAATGGAACATGACCAAGTCTCATCTTTATCATATCTGTGATGATAATGAGGAACACCAAAACTAATAAAATACCAGGCACCCTTACGATTCTAAAATTCTCCCTTCAGTGACCAAATAATTCAGATTTCCTAGTAAAATTCAGAGATGTCCAAATAAAACCACCATGAAACCCAAAATCAAAAATTTTACATTTTGTTGTTTACCAATCTTTAAATGTGGTGGCCGTATTAGTTGGGGTTTTTTTTTAGGTATTTTATCTATTATTTTCACCTGATCTGGCCAGCAACACTCTCTGTCCTAGATTGTCTCTAGTCTGGATGGAGGAGCAATGGAGACACCTTTGGATAGCAGCATTGTCAATAAGGGAATAGGGTAGTGTTAGATGCATCTGATTTAGATGGATTTGGCTAAGGAATTAAAGCCGAACCCTAGCTAAAACTTTTTAGGCAGTTATTTAGACCAACATTTTAGGCCAGTAAGAAAAAAAAAACAGTGGTTTTTTTTTTCTTATTGGGATAAAGGATTTATATAAATGAATAGATACTAACCATTGTAAGTACCCCTGTCCATGGTAAATGGTTTGTCTCAACTCTCTAGCTGCCACCTTTGCTGGACAACTTGGTCTAGTAAAAGGAAGTTGAAAAATATCTTAACAGGGAATAATAACAGGAAAAGGAAAAAGGAAACAAAGCCTAAAAATAAAAAAACTAATGCAGTCACCACATCTAAGACTAGGTAAGTTGCAGTATAGTACATGTTTTGGCTTAGGATTTAATATCACTAAGTTGAATAAACAACATTTAGCAAGCATGTAAGCTCCAAAAGACTGCAAATCAAGCCTTTGTAATTGAAGGTCGTAATTTCCATTAGACAGTGCTGGCTGATGGCTATTTACGAGTTATGTTAAAACATACCCTGGTCTGCTAGTTTGTAAATGGCTAATTGGATGTTGTTACTCCATAAGTTGTCATCTAGCAAGCCAGAACGTTTAGCCGTTGTAAATATCATTAAGATAGAGCCTGGAAAACCAGTTACCTTTTAATGAGCCGATCATATGATCCATTATAAGAGGCCTGAATCCCTGCCCTAAATAGCTTACAGCAATCCACAGCCCTTCTCCACATCTTTCAGCCCTTGTGTTTGACTGGAAGGTATCAGTGATATCCACCAGAGGATTAATAAAACATCTGCTGGAATTGGCAGCTAGAGCTCTCAAATTTCCATTGAGCTATGCATGAAGACAGGGAGTCATTTTGAGGGCCAGTGACTCTGTTCAGACTTACACTGAAGTGATTGGACCCTGTTTGAACCACAGACAGGGAAAATCCTTGTTAAGTACTTTTCATTTTTATTCACTTTTTTAATATTGATATTATTGTCTATTTTGTAATACAGTGTTCCCTCGCCACTTCGCGCTTCATGTTTTGCGGCTTCAGTGCTTCGCGGGTCAGCAGCCACATTGTGTTGATGCGCGAGAGAGAAGGATCCCTGCATGAAGGAGCCCTTATAATGCCGCCTAAGCGCTGTGCCCCTGCGAAAGCTTCCTCTGGGGCACCCAAGAGGAAGAAGATGATGACCATCAGCGAAAAAGTGAAACTTTTAGATATGATCAAAGAGGGCAGAAGTTATGCATCTGTGGCACGCCATTACGGGGTGAATGAATCTACAGTGCGGTACATCAAGAAAGCGGAGGCAAACATCCGCAAAACTGCTTCAATAACCTTCAACAAAGAAGCAAAACGTGTGATAACTCCGCATAATAACAGAATTGTGAAAATGGAAGGTGCACTGGCATTGTGGATTGCTGATTGCAGGAAAAAGACAGTGAGTGTGGACACTAATATGATCAGGACAAAGGCCAAAGCTCTCTATGACCAAATCTTGCCCGATGACGACAATGAAGAGGCTGAAGAAGGTGCTGACAAACCTCAAGCCAGTACTAGCGCTGCCAGGAGTGATTCGCCTCCTCGCGGACGAGGCTTTTCAGCCAGCAAAGGCTGGTTTGAAAAATTTCAAAAAAGATACGGCTTCAGAAATGTGCTTCTGTATGGTGAGGCTTCCTCTGCTGACAACGATGCTGCTTGTCGTTACGTGGAGGAAAAGTTTCCTAACCTCATTAGTGAGGGAGGCTACCTTCCTGAACAAGTTTTTAACATGGATGAAACAGGCCTTTTTTGGAAGAGGATGCCTTCACGTACATTCCTCTTCAAGGACGAAGTGAAGAGGCCAGGCTTCAAGGCTCACAAAGACCGTGTGACTGTTATCATGACTGGCAATGCTGCAGGTTTTATGCTTAAGCCAGGCCTTATTTATAAAGCCAAAAAACCACGGGCATTAAAAAACAAAAATATGGCCCTGTTGCCCGTGTTCTGGATGCATAACTCCAAGGCCTGGATAACGAAAGCTCTGACCCTTGAATCGTTCCTCCATTGCTTCATTCCCCAGGTGAAGCTGTATCTGGCTGAAAAGGGCCTCTCCTTTAAGGCCCTTCTCCTGATGGACTGTGCAGGAGGCCATGCAACGGACCTGCAATATGACGGTGTGCAGATAGAGTTTCTGCCCCCGAACACTACATCTCTAATTCAGCCGATGGATCAAGGTGTCATTCGTGCCTTTAAGGCACTCTACACTCGCTCCACGATGGAGAGCCTCATCTCGGCAGTTGACGATGCCAATGATGAATTCACCTTGAAAGCATACTGGCGCAGTTATGACATTGCCTCATGTTTGTCTAATATTCAGCAAGCATTAAAGGACATGAAGAGTGAGACCATAAAATCTAGCTGGAAGAAATTATGGCCGAACGTGGGTGCACGACTATCCAGGCTTCACTCCTGAAGAAGTTCATCACTCAGCGGTGGAGAAGGCGGTGAGGCTGGCTCACATCATAAGGAATGAAGGATTTGTCGACATGACAGAAGAAGACATCAGTGCCACTCGGACCCACTGATCGATGAAGACCTCCTTGAGATGACAAAGTCTGCAAGTGAGGAAGAAAATGAAGAGGAAGACGAAGAAGAAACTGAAAAGCGTGGCCTTACCCTGGAGAATCTGCAACAATTGTGCAACATGGCAAGAGCGATGCAACAATTTGCACAAGACATTGACGACAATATGGTTCGAGCTGTCGAGTTCAGCAATCGCGTTGACGGGGTTATGTCCTTGTACAGGGGAATTTTGAAGGAAAAGAAAAAACAAAAGACAACAACTACCCATCACCATTGTTTCTCTCCAAAGTAAAGCCCCCGCTCTACCGTCAGCGCCTCCAGCAGAAGAGTCTCCGAGTCAAGTGAGAGCCTCTCCTCCGCCACCAACACAAGACTCTTCGCCTCTCTCAGAAAGCAATGTTGATTAATGTTTATTACTGTATAAGGTTTTGTAATTACAGTAACCCTATTGTAATTAGCACTGACACGTTTAAGTAAATACGTATACTGTACATTACTGTTGTAATTTTTGTCTTAAATGAGTAAAGTATGAATACTGTTTATATATTTAAAACATTCTTGTACAGTACCCGCATACACAAAAATTCCTAGGGGCAAATACTACTTTGCGGTTTTTCAGCTTTTGCGGAAGGTTCTGGTCCCATTAACCGCGAAAAATTAGGGATCACTGTATCCTATTCTGTAAATATTTTTCTTGTACTGTTTTTCCCCCTTCTTTTATTAAACAAAATTTTCCAATTGTTAAGCCTTATCTTCAATGTGTATGTTCTTATTTAACATAAACCTTTGGTTTTGTATAGCTTAGCAAGCAAGTTGTGTCCCTCTAGCATGTATTCTGTGCTTGGAACACATAGATAGTAGATAATTCCCAAATCATTTAAAGCCAGCCATAGACATTTCGAATCTCGGCCAGTTCAACTGGGACCGGTCAAGTTTCAAAACATCTATGGGCAGGCTGAATGTACCCAATTTGACCAATCAATCAAGTTGGGTACAACCGGCCTGTTTGATTTTACATGTGTGTCAGGGCTCCAGGTATGACCAGAGGTGTGTGGACTGACACAGGGAAACGCAGGCTTCAGATATGGTATAAACAATATAATTTATTAAGACTAACAATACAAAACGCAGTGCAAAACTAAACATAAACACAGTGCAACCAAACCAAACCACCCACCGATAATACATACAATACAAAGAGTAGTCAGGCAGGCCGGGTCAGTAGCAAACGGGCAAATGGAGTACCAGGAACAGGCGGGAGAGTGGTCGGGGTCACAAGCTGGTTTCAGTAACTCACGGGCAGCGCGGTACAGAGGGTCAGGCAGAGAATGGTCAGGGTCACAAGCCAGGGATCAAGCAGGAGAAGTCAGCAGAGGTCAGGATCAGGCAGGGTCGGCAACAGGTCAGACAGGAACAGGAATACAGGATACAAGGTACAGGGGCCCATGGAAAAACACACACCAAGGCCCTGACTATGAGTCTGGCCATTCCTTAAATACAACCCCTGCAATCAGCTTCAGGTGTTTGGCTGATTGCAGCGGTGAGTCTCTGATTGCTGAGAGCACCCGCTGGCCAGCCCTGGTACTGCAGCCCACAAGGCAGGTGAGTCCCACCATTATTGGCAAGTCCATTCCTGACAGTGTGATTATTGCTAGTGGCTGTTATAGGAAGCCATCCCTTTCAGTAGAGCACAATGGCTCTATGGGAGGGATTCCCCCCATCAATGCTGACTGTGTTGATGGGGAATCAAGCTTTTTTTCTTTCCTGCAACCAAAATCACTGTGCCTATGGCTGGCTTTAGCCTGAAATCATCAGTCACCAAAGGAGCTAACACTTTAAGCAGACTTTTTAAAAATAGAAAATATTGTACTCAGTTGTTGAAAAGGCATATACAGTTGTGTCCAAAATTATTCAACCCCCAATGCTGTAAAGGGGTTTAGGGACTATAGTGTACATTTGGAATTGTATTCAGAATCAAATCCTACAAGGACGTTGTAACTACCCAAATGCAACTAAAATGACATCAATTGTTTATGTAATACAGTAGTAAATGGTTCTTATGTGGTTTCTTCATTGCCACAATTATTCAACCCCTTAAAGACTACCACTCTGAAGAACAGAGGTTCATACAGGTGCTTTCCATCAGGTATTGAAAACACCTGTGGATGTCACCGAGCAGCAATCAAGCATAATAAGCACCAATTAGGCAGCTTTAAAATGACTGTGATACTCAGCTCCTTCTAGACATTTACTGGTGTGGTTACAAACATGGTGAAGGCAAGAGAATGGTCCAGGAAGACAAGAGAAGAGGTGATTTCTCTTCACAGGAAGGGCAATGGCTATAAGAAGATTGCAAAGATGTTAAACATACCAAGAGACACCTTAGGAAGCATCATTCGCAAATTCAAGGCAAAGGGCACTGTTGAAACGCTACCTGGTCGTGGCAGAAAGAAGATGCTGACTTCGACTGCTGTGCGCTACCTGAAGCGTAGAGTGGAGAGAAGTCCCCGTGTGACTGCTGAGGAACTGAGAAAAGATTTGTCAGATGTGGGTACAGAAGTTTCAGCCCAGACAATAAGACGCACACTGCGTAATGAAGGCCTCCGTGCCAGAACTCCCAGGCGTACCCCCTTGCTGTCTCCAAAGAATAAGAAGAGTCGACTGCAGTATGCCAAAAGCCATGTGGACAAACCACAAAAGTTGTGGGATAGTGTTCTGTGGACTGATGAAACAAAATTAGAACTGTTTGGGCCCATGGATCAACGCTATGTTTGGAGGAGGAAGAACAAGGCCTATGATGAAAAGAACACCTTGCCTACTGTGAAGCATGGTGGAGGGTCAATCATGCTTTGGGGCTGTTTTGCTTCTGCAGGTACAGGGAAGCTTCAGCGTGTGCAAGGTACCATGAATTCTCTTCAGTACCAGGAGATATTGGATGGAAACGTGATGCAGTCCGTCACACACCTGAGGCTTGGGAGACGTTGGACCTTTCAACAGGACAATGATCCCAAGCATACCTCCAAGTCCACTAGAGCATGGTTGCAGAGGAAAGGCTGGAACATTTTGGAGTGGTCATCGCAGTCACCAGACTTAAATCCGATTGAGAACCTCTGGTGGGACTTAAAGAAAGCAGTTGCAGTGCGCAAGCCTAAGAATGTGACTGAACTGGAGGCCTTTGCCCATGAAGAATGGGCGAAGATACCCGTAGATCGCTGCAAGACACTTGTGTCAAGCTATGCTTCACGTTTAAAAGCTGTTATAACTGTAAAAGGATGCTGTACTAAGTACTAAGATTGAATGTCACTTGGGGGTTGAATAAAACTGATAATGCTGTGAGCACAGAAAAGACATTTGTGGTTATTTCATTATAACTGTTATGTTATATTTGTCTGACCTACAAGTGCCTCTTTAATGTAAATGTAAGCAAGATGACTGAATGATCAAAAGCAATGTCAAACTGGCCAAAACACTCAATTTCAGTGGGGGTTGAATAATTTTGGACACAACTGTATAACACTATAATCATAACTCTACCCATTTAAAACATCTGGATTGCAATGTATATTTGAGCAAAGGATTAGTGTTCTGTGTTGACAGAATTGGCTATATTTTAACCATATTGTATGTTATGGTACTACAATAATAAATTCAGATATCAACACCACATTTGTATATAATATAGATGTCCTGCCACAGCTCTTCCACCCACTCCTGGGCTACCAGATAACAAGAATAGTACTCAAACAGTCACATTTTCAATGTCACAGAAATACCAACCAGATTCCGTACTCCCTGGAAACATCATACCTGCATTTCTGAAGAACCACAAACACTTGTGTTCATCGGTTCTCTAAGTAATTGCTTGTATCAACAGCGGTCGTCCTGTGCTGTTCTTCTTTCCCCTATCTCTTTGGTCAATCTTAAACTCCAAAACAGCACAGCTAAGCAGGATTATAGCTTCAAATCACTTGGGACTTTCTGCCTCTCCTCCAGTATATTTGGCAGTAGTTTAATACACAGTCACAGAGTTTAAAACAAACATAAAACCAGCGTAGTGTACAGTATCTCCGATTTATTTAAAATAAAGTGAAAGCAACTACAAATGCCAGCTCTAGCATGCCTAACATGGTTGGCCTACTGACCTAATCAGAGGCATCTACCACTTCATCAGTGGCATATCCTCCCTAGGTGCAATGTAAGGGGGCAGGGAGGGAAACTGTACCCTCATACATTGCACAACACGGGGAAACGCCTCTGAAGGGTATATGGTCATATAACAAAGAGAGGAAACAGCGGGGGCATTTTTGCAGATTGGGTGCTGGGGGAGCAGAAGCGGGCAGGAGGAGAGGATTGGATTAAACATACCTTCCTCTTCCTATAAAATGACAGCAGTCAATGAGCCAGCGGCCCCTTGTTAATCCCACCATTTTTTATTGATTAAAAGTCTCCCATGTGGTAAAAAAGTACTGTACTCACTTTAAACAGTGCCCACTGGCACCTGGAATGTCCAACTGACTAATACAGAGGAAGCCCCACTGGTCCATAATATCCCACAACCTTCAGTACTTAAACTAGATGCATTTAAAATGCATTTCATTATTAATTAATAATACATAGATTAATTAACATGTATTTTATATCTGCCTGGAGTTCAGCTTTAAATGTAGTGTTCCTAAGTTGTAATTGTGATATCGCCAGGTTAAGGGAACATCATACTCCTGCCTCAGCTCTTCCATGATTTAAAAGTATTACTAGTATACAACTGATGTAAGTGTTTTGTCTCATAGTTTGTCCAGTGGAAGCCATCCACTAGTTTATACATTCTTTCAGGTGAAAGATAAACCACAATGGGGCACTGGGAGAAAGGGTGTAATAAATGAGGATAGAACATATACAAAAAATGTTTACAGATAATTTAAGCATTGCTAGACCTCTATCAGCTGAGAGTTATGTTGTGTAAGGTTAGAGAGAAGATACAGAATGTGCTGGAAGTATAGAAATTATTGAGACACCTGATCAGTAGCAGTAGGCTTTTCTTAAGTATAATGTTTAACTTGCAAATTATATGTGCAGCTTGCTTGCCTTGGAGAAACCATTGAGCATGATATAACAAATCTATCCCTGCCACCTTTCAAGAACATCTACTTGCCACACATGTCTCTACTGGTTAAAATCAGAATGAGGATTGGTAAGTATAAGCAAAGCTTTTAGCTTGCATTCCTTGAATCTGTACTTTGCCTTCATTGTTCTTTTATTAAGTATGTTATATCTTTATATCATTTACAAAGCACATTGTTGACTTCATATAAAATAGATATAACTGGCTTGGCATCATATTGATTACGAAACTGGCTTCTTCATACTCTTGTAGATCAATGTGCTGATTATATTCATACACTCTCACTAAGACCTGTTTAGTAATTGTATGGGGCAGGAGAAAGAGCAAAGAAAGAAACACATGACTAATTATCTGTCAATGTTTTCTGGCTATTTCTTTCTTTTTTGCATTTGTGAAAAGTATTGCAGGATGAAGGTTTGTTATCATTCATTTTCCTTCTATGGGAAGTTACAAATTGGTTATGATTCTGTTCTACAATTTGCAAATATTCTTTTTTATGCCTTTTTTTTCCTAACCCTAGGCTGTAGGATTGCACATCATTTATTTCAAAACGTCTGAGCATGTAGAATATGCAGGAGATAAGAATTGTTTTACTTTGAGTTAAATATGCAGTTTTTATTAATCCCAGTTGTATTATTAGTATTTAAAAGTATTTTTTAAATTTAAATAGATTAGGGAACAGTTAAACACCTGTCAGATTTTAATTGCCATTTGTGTCTCATTGAAGATTTAATTTCCGTTAATTTCCTGTGCTGTAGACTTGACAGGAATTGGGAGAAAAACTTTCCAAATGTAGACTGAAATACCTTCTTAGACACCACCAAAACAGCAATAGATGAGTTCTGGTGATACACCAGAATTCATCTATTGCTGTTTTGGTGGTGACTTAGAAATTTAGTTTTTTTTTCTCACTTTCAGTGACAGTGGTCACCAGGACAAATAGAGTGGGTGAAATCCTTTATTGGTGGAAAAAACTGACAAAACAATTCTATACAGTACTTAAAAAATATTTTGGCGTTAGGTATACCTTACATAATTTTTTTTTTTTACTGCCACCAGGTACAGATACTGTCTTTTTTATAATAAAGAATATCATTAGCTGGTGAATTGTTAAGTTGAATCATTGCTGTTTGTGATTAGTAAAGTGCAACCTCCCCAACCATTGCTTATAATAGTTAGTCCATTTCAAATTAAGTTGTTCTGTAATGTTGTTCTGCCATATAATCCAGTCTTCCCCAAAGATTTGTATGGTTTACATTTTCACTTCCTCGGTTTTTAGAATTGAATGAATGTGCCCCTCAGAAATGTAACAATTTTGTATTATGTAATCATTATGGTCACATCACAATTACTGCACAGTGTTCACCATGAAATGTTTGCACAAGTACAACATTTTTATACTGGAATTCCCAGCAAAAACCTAAATACAGAATTTGTTTTAAACGCCAAAGGTTTTGTGATTTTGTCTAGCACACCTCTTCTATACTGTACATCAATGAAGATCTAGCTTTATCTTCAATTAGTTACTTAAAATCATCATAAAATAAGATCATCTTTAAACATTGGAGTACAGTAGGCATTCATGTATGAAGCTGTTCCATTTGAGGCAAGAAGGATCAAGTTTCACGATTGACTCTGTCAGGAATGGACTCAGCACTGGTGGTGGGACTCACCTGCCGTGTGGGCTGCAGTACCAGAGCTGACCAGCGGGTGCTCTCAGCAGCCAGAAGCTCACTTCTGCAATCAGCCAAACCTGGGGCTGATTGCAGAAGGTGTATTTAAGGCATGACCAGGCCTGTGATCTGGACCTTGGTGTATGTTTTCCCATGAGCCCCTGTGCCTGGTATCCTGTGTTCCTGCTTCGTTGCTGACCCTGCTTGATCCTGACCTCTGCTGACCATCTCCTGTTGAACCCCTGGCTTGCCTGGCCATCCTTCTGCCTCATCCCCTGTACCGCGCTGCCTGTGAGTTGCTGAACCCAACTTGTGACCCTGACCATTCTCTGCCTGCTCCTTTGGTACCTTGCTGCCCGCACGTTGCTGACCTGGCCCGTCTGACCACGCTAACTACTCTGCCATCCATCCACCCTGCACGGATCCAGCCGTCCCTGCTCACACCTTCTGCCTCTTCACATCAGGCTTTCTACCTGCACATACCTCTGGCGGATCCCTCTACCACTAGCAGGTGTACTCAGGGGCCGCGACCTGGTTCCTGTCTGCTCCAAGTCCATCCCCACCATCAGGGGCCCTGGTGAATAAGCAGACTGGGACTTAGACTCCGCGCCCTGAGGAATCCTGTCCTGAGGACCGCTAGAGGTACCATCAAACGGTCATTACAGAACCCTATGGCCGGCCTGACCATTCCACCTCTCCAGCCCTGACTACGCCTGTGTTCCTGCACCTCCTAAGATTAGTGGAAGGTTTGTTTGCTCACTGTGCGTTTATATATATATATATATATATATATATATATATATATATATATGGGTGGCTAATAATAAACTGTATTATACTGTACCTGAGGCCTGCGTTTCCCTGTGTCAGTCCACACCTTTCTGGTCATTCCTAGATTCCTGACATCACACCAAGGCCTTTCCTGACCAGAAGTGGCTGCACAGGGAAGCCATCTTGACTTGTTGTGAAGGATGCATCCTGAGGAGGTTGTGTATTTGTCTATGCTAGTCTTTGATGACAGAGAATATGCCTATCAGACTCTGCGGGAGTATACCAGGGATCAGCTGCTAGAGTGCATACGGGTCGCTCATTCCCTAGTAGGTCAGGACCTAGAGCTCTCTGAAGTGCAACCATTGATTCAGGCTTGTGTTGAGTTGGCTTCATCTAGTACCCCTGAAAGCAGGGATGAATTCCTTCCTCCATTCAGGGTGAGTCAAATAATATCACTGGTATGGTTGTTGGAGGATGATCCGGATTGCTTCTTGGAGCATTATTCAGCATGTTCACCACATGTGCTAAAGAAGTGTATAAACGCAGTGCAATCTTTGACCAGACAGGCCTTGTGTAAGCTGAGCGTTGTCCAACCCTTACTGCAGACATGGTCAGACTTGTTACACCCAGCCTCAATCAGCTTGCAACAAACCAGTCCTGTTTCTCATCATTCCTCTGCTCAAAGCTCTTTTCCTGCATTCCCGACAGCACCCCCAGTGACAGCCCAGTATACCCTGCTATCTACCACATGTCAGTACCCTGCTCCCACTCGCTGTACCATCGTGCCAGTCGACTCTGTGCCAGTTGACTCGGTGCCCGCTGTCGAGCCAGATGACTTGATGCCTGATGATTTGGTGCCCGCTGTCGTGCCCGTTGACTTGGTGCCCGCTGTTGTACCAGTTGACTAGGTGCCCACTGTCGTGCCAGTTGACTCGGTGCCCGCTGTTGAGCCGGATGACTTGATGCCCGGTGACTCGGTGCCCGCTGTCGTGCTAGTTGACTCGGTGCCCGCTGTCGTGCCAGTCGACTCGGTGCCAGTTGACTTGGTGCCCGCTGTCGAGCCAGATGACTTGATGCCTGATGATTCGGTGCCCGCTGTCGTGCCCGTTGACTTGGTGCCCGCTGTTGTACCAGTTGACTCGGTGCCCACTGTCGTGCCAGTTGACTCGGTGCCCGCTGTTGTACCAGTTGACTCGGTGCCAGTTGACTCGGTGCCCACTGTCGTGCCAGTTGACTCGGTGCCCGCTGTTGAGCAGGATGACTCGGTGCCCGCTGTCGTGCCAGTTGACTCGGTGCCAGTTGACTCGGTGGCCGCTGTCGTGCCAGTTGACTCGGTGCCCGCTGTTGAGCCGGATGACTTGATGCCCGGTGACTCGGTGCCCGCTGTTGAGCCACATGACCTGATGCCTGATGACTTGGTGCCCGCTGTCGTGCCAGTTGATTCAGTGCCCACTGTTGTGCCAGTTAATTTGGTGCCTGCTGTCGAGCTTGGTGACCCGGTACCCCGCGGTTCTGCTAGATGGCTCGGTGCCCGCTGACATGCCCGGTGACTCAGTGCCCGCTGACTTGCCAGGTGACTCTGTGCCCGCGGTTCTGCTAGATGGCTCGGTGCCCGCTGACGTGCCCGGTGACTCGGTGCCCGCTGTCGTGCCAGATGACTCGGTGCCCGCTGACGTGCCTCTGCCCGCTGCACAGCCCGACATGCCAGCCCCTGATGTCCAGCTAAACTGGCCAATAACTGATTCCCAGCCTGCTCCTGGAAATCCTGTGCCAGTGACCTGCCTTCCTGGGTTCTCCTACACAAAGAGAAGTCTACCAGCAGGAAACCCAGCCAGCCGGTTTACTCCGGCAGTAGGATATTCAGCCAGTTACCTGACCCGGGCGGTGGAACATTTTGCCCACTAAGGACTGTTTGGAGCATCCTGAGGCCGCTCCTTGAGGGGGGGTACTGTCAGGAATGGACTCAGCACTGGTGGTGGGACTCACCTGCCGTGTGGGCTGCAGTACCAGAGCTGACCAGCGGGTGCTCTCAGCAGCCAGAAGCTCACTCCTGCAATCAGCCAAACCTGGGGCTGATTGCAGAAGGTGTATTTAAGGCATGACCAGGCCTGTGATCTGGGCCTTGGTGTATGTTTTCCCATGAGCCCCTGTGCCTGGTATCCTGTGTTCCTGCTTCGTTGCTGACCCTGCTTGATCCTGACCTCTGCTGACCGTCTCCTGTTGAACCCTTGGCTTGCCTGACCATCCTTCTGCCTCATCCCCTGTACCGCGCTGCCTGTGAGTTACTGAACCCAGCTTGTGACTTTGACCATTCTCTGCCTACTCCTTCGGTACCTTACTGCCCGCACGTTGCTGACCTGGCCCGTCTGACCACGCTAACTACTCTGCCATCCATCCATCCTGCACGGATCCAGCCGTCCCTGCTCACACCTTCTGCCTCTTCACATCAGGCTTTCTACCTGCACATACCTCTGGTGGATCCCTCTACCACTAGCAGGTGTACTCAGGGGCCGCGACCTGGTTCCTGTCTGCTCCAAGTCCATCCCCACCATCAGGGGCCCTGGTGAATAAGCAGACTGGGACTTAGACTCCGCGCCCTGAGGAATCCTGTCCTGAGGACCGCTA